TGCTCTAACACGTTAGTTATTTCTACTTTATTTCCTTTACATCCTGATTGTGTCATTTTGTGCATATACTGTAATGTATTGGATTATTGTCATTCAGCCAACTGTCTTGCTGTATGCCAAGCACTAGGGATGCAGCAGTGAACAAATCAAACATCCACTCTCTCTCGTAGCTTACTTCTAATGGAGCACACAAGTAAAATATATGTCACATGGAAAGTGATAAAGGGAAGGAGAATAGGGAGTGTGGCGTATTAGGCTTGCAGTTGTAGGGGAGGAGGCCTCACTGCAGTGTCATTTGAGCAAAGATTTGGTGGAGGGGAAGAAATTCAAGCCATGCACATAGAGCTGGGAGCTGAGCATTCCAGGCAGAGAAAATAGCAAGTGCTAGATTTGGATTTGGGGTGTGGGAGAAAGATTGGAGTCAAGGATATGAAACCAAGGTTTCAGGCCTGGGCAACTTAGAGTGATTAGCCATTTTCTGAGTTGGAAATAATAAATAAGTGGGCAGCAGGGAATGTGTGTGTGTGTGTGTGTGTGTGTGTGTAGGGGGAGTGCAAGGAAGTGTGGGAAAGAAGTTTATTTTGGGGAATGTTCCGTTTGAGATACTTATAAGACATTTAAGTGGATACCTCTAGTAGGTATTTGAATATATAAGAATTATGATAATTTATATCTTTCTGCAAATAAATTGTAATTTAAAATTCTAGTTAGAGTATCATGTGCTAGATACTAGTAGCATAACTATGGAAAAGAGAATATTCTGTTAGTTTTATCATGCGCATTCAAGGGCCAAGTATAGCCAGCTAATAAAATTCTAAGAGACTGTTTTTAGAAATTGGGGCCTCACTTAGAATCCAGAAAATACTTCCTCATTTTAACTTTAAAAAAGTATCCTCACCTGGGGATATGTTTCATGGATTTTTAGAGAGAGGGGAAGGGAGAGAGAGTGAAACAATGATCAGTTGACTCCCGTACATGCCCCAACTGAGCATCGAAACCACAACCTAGGTGTGTGCCCTGACTGAGAATCAAACCGTTGACCCTTCGGTTCATGGGATGATGCTCAACCAACTGAGCCACATCAGCTAGGGCTGAACTAGACATATATTTAAGAAAGATTAATGAAAGTAAGATCTCCTTGGCTGAGTAGCTCAGTTGGTTAGAGCATCATCTCAATATGCCAAGGTTATAAATTTAATCCCCCACTAGGGCACTCACAAGAGTCAACCAACGAATGCATAAATAAGTGGAACAACAAATTGATGTTTCATTTTTTCTCTCCCCCCTCACATACTGCCCCCCCTCCTTAAAAATCAATAAAAAATTATAACAGTGGCTTGAGCAAAATCAGTTTCTGTCTCCTGTAACAATCCAAGTATAAGCAGTTCAGAGCTAATCTGGTGGTTCCATGGTGTTGAGGACCTGGGCGCCTTCTGTCTTGTTGCACTTCCTAAAGTCTTTCCCTCAACTGCAAGGTTGACAATAGTTTACTTCTATCATTTCCATGTTCCAGCTGGTGGGGAGGAAAATGAGAAAATTCCCCATTTCTTTAAAGGGCATGATATGGAAGTTGTATACATAACTTATGCATACGGTCCCTTGGCAAGAACTTAATTATAAGGCAACACATAAAGTAGATAATGCACCCAATTAAAGTTCTGTGAAAGAAAAGGAGTCCCGGCCACACATACATTTTGCTAAATGGAGAGCGCGCACACATATGCACATATATCTATATAACTACATACTGTAACAACAAGATTAGGAGAATTTAAAAGATTAATTTTTAGTTAAGTAATATGGTTAAAAGACAATAATACAGAAGGACTTATGATGAAAAATAATGGTTACATGCTGTATTCCTTCCCACCCCCTGACTCATTGTCTAGAGTGAACCATTTTTTTTAAAATATATTTTATTGATTTTTTACAGAGAGAAAGGAAGGAGAGAGATAGAGAGTTAGAAATATCGATGAGAGAGAAACATCGACCAGCTGCTT